TAGATGCTAAAACCACTTTGGTATCCTCTTCTAGGTTCTAACAGTCCTGATTTAAATTAAAAGCCAACCAAATCCTTCTTATATAGTAACTAGCTATCTTTTCAAATTTCTTGAATCCTGCCAAATGGACTAATTATTTTAAAGCAATTATTTTGTTTCCCATTCTGTCATTTAATGGAGAAATTGCACCTTCTGATTATAAAGGATGTGTTACTTGGAATTTTAAAATTCCAGTGAATTGGTGAAATGTATTTTTTTAAATAACAGGCCCCCCCTGAAAATATATCCCTAGAATTTGAGGATGAGTTCATCTTATGCTTGCCATGGAAAATAATAAAAGAATAAAATTAGTTATTTCTGGATATCTATTTTTAAAAATCAACTTCATAAAAATATAATTTATGTACAAAAACCCTACATTACTCTTTAAAACCCAGTGACTTTGACAGTTGTGTACACCTGCAAAATCATTACCACAATCAAGCTATGGCATATTTCTATCACCTCCAAAAGGTTCTCCCTGCCCTTTTGTAGTCCAACCTCTGTCCCTGTGACCAAGAAACCACTGAACTGCTTTCTGCCTATAAATGAGTTCATGTTTTTTCCAAGAAGATATTCAGTTGTTCCAGCACCATTTGTTTAAGAGAACGTCCCACTGAATTCCTTGACACCTTTGTCAAAAATTAATTGATCATCTATATCTGAATTTATTTCTAGACTGTATTCTGTTCTATGGATCCACATGTCCATCCACCAATACTACACTGTCTCAATACTGTTGTTTCATAGCTAGTCTTAAAATCAGGTTGTAAAAATCCTGATTTTAACGTTTTCTTTTTCTTTTTTTTTGACACGGAGTCTCACTCTGTTGCCCAGGCTGGAGTGCAGTGGTGTGATCTTGGTTCACTGCAACCTCCGCCTCCTGGATTCAAACAAAAGCAATTCTCCTGCCTCAGCCTCCCGAGTAGCTGGGACTACAGGGGTGTGCCACCATGCCCGGCTAATTTTTTTTTTTTTTGTATTTTCAGTAGAGATGGGGTTTCACCGTGTTGGCCAGGATGCTCTTGATCTCCTGATCTCGTAATCTGCCCACCTCGGCCTCCCAAAGTGTTGGGATTACAGATGTGAGCCTGTTTTCTTTTTAAATATTGCTTTGGCTCTTAGGATTTTCAACTACTAGGATTTTTGCTTATCTATGTTTGTGTGCCATAAAATGCAATTCTCTCCTTGTTGCATGAGTCCTCTTATATGAGGTGTCTAAAATAGTCATGCTCCTAGAAACAGAAAGTAGAATGGTGGCTGCCAGGATCTGGGGCAAGGGAAAATGGGGAGTAGCTATTCAATGAGTTTAAAGTTTTAGTTATACGAGATGAGTAATTTCTAGAGATCTGCTGTACAATCTAGAATCTCTGTAATTCTAGAGATCTATAAGCATTGTGCTTATAGATAAAAAAATACTATGCACTAAAATTTTAAGAGGGCAGATCTCATGTTAAGTGTTCTTCACACAATAACAAAACAAGAAATTTGCACACATGTATGGAATCCTACATGGAAGGGGAATAAAATTAATAGATTTAGTGGCCAAGCATGCTGACTCACGCCTGTAATCCCAGCACTTTGGGAGGGCGAGGCCAGCAGATTACTTGAGGCCAGGAGTTTGAGACCAGCCTGGCCAACATAGTGAAATCTGGTCTCTACTAAAAACACAAAAAATTAGCTGGGCATGGTAGCACACGCCTGTAATCCCAGCTACTTGGGAAGCTGAGGCATGAGAATCACTGGAACCTAGAAGGCAGAGGTTGCAGTGAGCCGAGATCGTGCCAGTGCACTCTAGCCTGGGCAATAGTGAGTCTGTCTCAAAAAGAAAAAAAACAAAAATAAAAAAAAAATTAAATAAATTTAGTTATAGCCTATGTACAACATATACTTTATATGTGGATAAATGGCAAGCATATTTAAAAGTCGATATAAGTAACTAAATTCAAAAAATATAAACTGTACCTTTAAAAGCAAATGCAGTTGCTTTTGCTCCTGATAGTAATTTTTATGTCCTCAAACCCTACTGTAAATAAACTACATAAAAATAATATTTAAGAAAATGGAATTTTGGTTATTATGATTGACAGACTAACTGGTGGTATATAGATAATATTCAAAAACACCACAAGTAAAAAGTTGTGATATTTGAACATGAGCTTTCTGGGAACGTAAGAAAATACACTTAACATGCACCAAATGATGCATTCTTTAATCAACTTCACAAATACATGTCAAATACTAGTGTGTGGCGAAGAGGAAAGGTGGTAGAATCAGATAGACAAACCTCCATCATGCGCACATAGCATGACAATGGGCAATCCGTGTAAGTTCTATAAGCCTGATTTCCTTTTGTACAATGATATGTATCTCAGAGAGTTGTTGTGAGGCTCACATGGTATCACACACGCGACGCACATACAGCATAGTTGGCCTACAGTGAGCACTCAGTTGTTAGCTATTGTCACAGAAGTTTGGTGTACCACATCTTATATATATAAGAACTTTCATAAAGATCAGATGATTTCATTCATGCATTACATAAAAGATGACTGGAGGACATTGATAAACACATGTAGCTTTTTTTTTTAAAACAATATGATTTCAATGTATTTCATATTGAAATTTATTTTTAAAGTATTAAAGAAATTGACAAAATAAATTACACCATATGATTTTTACATTTAAATAACAAACTAGCCTACAGCAAGATAGACATTATCCCTGATTTACATATGAGAAAATTGAGGTTTTTTTTTTTTTTTGCCCAAAGTCACCCACAGGTGGCACTGAGGATTTGAACTCAGTTTGTCTCACTCAGAGTGTAATGCTCTGTGTAACCATCCTTCTTTGCCTCCAGGGAATGACTCAGGCATGTAGATCTGTGCTTTCAATGGACTAGCCATTAGACAAACATGGCTGAGAACTTGAAATGTGACTAGTCTAAATTCAGATGTGCTTTAAAATACACCCTGTATTTTGAAGATTTACTATCAAAAAAAAAAATCTCAATAATTTTAAAAGATATCTCTCATATTTTGGATGTATTATCCTAATATATATACATATAATTAATTTTACCTGTTTGTTTTAATATGGCTCTTATGATTTTCAACTTCTAAGATTTTTGCTTATCTATGTTTGTGTGCCATAAAATGCAATTCTGTCCTTATTGCATGAGTCCTCTTATATGAGGTATCTAAAATAGTCATGCTAAAAACATAAAATTACATACGTGGCTCACATGTTTCTATGTGTTGGCACTGATTTAGATCATTTCCATTTAGGTTCTGAGAAGTAAAAGTTTGGAGTTTCAAAGGAAATTTCCAGGAATTTAAAACATCAATCAGCTACACTTAATCCTTCTTGGTTTACTCTCTTCTGAACTTAATAAGCATAGACCTTAAATATCCTTTAGAGAAAGCATTTCATATTGAACAAATTGAGTGGTCATCTAACAACCCTACAGATGGACTGGAGCATCTTATGATAAACAAATTATAGGAAAGACATAATCAAGGATTTGGTGATCTTATTTTGCAGGCAGTTGCATAAATTCCTAGAGCCAATGCAGGTAGGGTCAAGATGGTACATGTGTTGATCAGGAATCAAGAGTTGATCCAGAGATTTCATTTTGGTATAGGACATAAATCTCAGAATAGTCTCTGGGCTTCTTTTGATCATGATTTTCCAGCATAGTGTTAGATAACATAATAGATGTCAAATAATAAAAATAAATGTCTTCATATTATAGTATAAAGAGTTTAAATCCCACCACTGTGGTAGGCTGTGGGTTGGAAGGCTCCCTGGAAAAGCGTATTTAAGATTCATAAAAGCAAAGCCAACTAGTTCCACTTTAGGCCTAAGAATTATGATATGAACCTTGAACATTCACAAAAATTATCTCTTCCTCAAGCATAGGTTAATCAAAATTAAACCCTTAGTTATGAAAAACTCAGATTTTATTTTTTAATAAGTCTTCATACAGGCTTTTCAAGATTAGAGAAAATTCTGTTTGCAAACTGAGCTATTTAGCCTGCCTAAACTGGAAAGTAGAAGTAATCCTTTCAAAGCACAATTAGTAACTGCCTTCTGTGGACAGAGCAGTCTAGTAAATGTTCTGGAAAGTATAAATGAAGCAGACAATACAAATTCTGCCCTCAGGGGTGGGATTTGTCTTATATGTAGAATTTGCTCTCTAGCATCAGTGAGTGTTGAGGTCTGAAAACAAGGGAGTAGACACATCTTAGGTCCTTATTGGAAATAAGACTTCTTTGGCTTCATACTTAAATGGAAAGTTTACATGGAATCATGGGTGCAATCCATTCTCAAATGAGAAAGGAGCCATCAGCTTTTTGACTTTCAGGCTAAGCAGCCTCATTCAGCAGTCTGCTTGGATAAATAAGGTCTTATTTTGTCATCACTGCCTGTCAGCTGTACCTGTCATTTGGTGTCACTAACTTAGGCCAGATCAAACAGAAAGCAACCTCTTTCTGCCACAAAGCATCTCCCTAGGCAGAGATCACAACATAAACTAAAGCACTAACTCTCAAGAGCCTGTTGTCACGATGATTCAGTTCATATATTATCTCTGACTTTTCTGAGATCATCTAATAAGTTCTAACCAAAAATAAATATTTAATATTTCATTAAATAACATTATTACTTAGTCTAGGGTGACTGGGTTACATAGGATGGCTTGAAAGAGATAAGCCTTGGTGGACATTTAAAAAATTTAACTGAAGTAAAGAGCAATTGGTTTAGTTCTCTTCCCCTAGAGTGTTCTCATGTTGAGAAGACAAAACTTTGGGAACAATCACAGAGGGGCTAGGTACACAATGCAAAATTGCTGCTGGAGAAACTGAGAGAGTAGATATTAAATAACTAAGTGCACGCTGGATGAATAATGTTCTGGATCCAAGAAAGACATACACAGGTAAAAAATGAATTCATGCCTTTTGTGTTGTTCAAAACTTGTACTTTATTTTTCTCAAATATTTTTACTTATGCTTTTTGTCATTATCCACAGTGTTTTCTTTTTTTTAAGCCTGAGCCACTTTGTGGTTTTAGCCTCAATATAATAATCATCCCCTTACTCTTAAACTAATTCCTTTTCCCCTGTCACTTAGGCTTTGTATAGTTTGTAAAAATGAGGACCTTAGAAAATCAACATTTCCTGTGAACTTGAGAGACTATATGAGCAGTGCCCCAATCAGTAGGATTAGGCATGTAAAACCAGTTGGATAGCAGATATATTATGATCTCTTGGACAAAGGTATAGTTGTGTGCATGTCTACAAGGTCATCGTGATTTGCCATTAGCATAAGGATCATGTAGGTTGACCAGGGTGAGGTAGGACTATCCACAGGATTGTGTAAATTGTGGTAGGGGAGGCAGTATACAATATTCATGAATTAAACACCTAGCTAACTGCTTTCCTGAAAATGGTCTGTGTTCTAAAAGACAAAGATCTAGGTTTTTTGCTGTTTTTTTTCTTTAACTTATGAAGATGCAAGCCACTAATACGTTACTTGCTCTAGTTTAAAGTGAAAGCAACTGGCTATGGTAAGGTAGAGAAGACAGCTAAATTGTATCAGAATATTTAAGACTTCTAAATTAAGTTCTGAGTTACCTCACCTTATAAAAATATATGTCAATATACTAAGTACTCAACAAAGATCCAGGATGTGGGATATTTAAAAATACATCTCTCTTGGATCAGCACCAAAAATATCAGTTTCTGTACAACCCGTGTCAAGTTTTTAAGTATACACACATTAAAATTATTTCTGATAAAAAATCACAAACTCCACAGAAATCATTAAATATATATGCAAATTACTTTTAAATACATTCTGACATCAAAGTCAGGCAATTCACTTGGAAGAATGTTATAATGAATATCACTGAATTTTTGTAGTAAGATGTTTGACGTCAACTTTGATTATGGGAATACTTTACATCTCACACAAAGGAGGCACTGGTACTTAGAAACTTAAGAAAATTACTAGAATTGTTAAGACTGAGGTGAAGAATTTGTACAGCCTTCCACAATTTCAAAGAGGTAGTGATAGATACTTGTCCTCCTGGCAATATCAAATGCAGTTTCTTCCAGGTTGTTTTTCAGCCCTGGTTTGACGTAACGGTTCATCAAGAGGAGTTCTAGGGTATCCTTGCTGTCTCTGTTTCCAGCAGCAAGATGCAAGGGGGTCAAGAGGCCTTTTGTTTGGGCATTGATATCTGCATCATGCTGCAGTAAGAAAGAAGCCACTCTGGTATTATTCCACTTACAAGCACTGTGCAGGGGCGTCCAGCCATCCACAGTCACTGCATGAACGTCTGCCCCCTGTGCAATGAGCTCCCGGACAATATCTAAGTGTCCACTGTAGGCTGCGCGATGAAGAGGGGTATACTCATCTTCATCCCTAGTGTTCACATGAGTGGCCTTTTCAGAAAGTAGTCTCCGCACTGTAGTTAGCTGAGAAGAAAAATGGAAATCTTTCAACTCAACTCAAACCAAAACAATAACCAAAACAAAATTGTCTTGTGGTGTTAGATTTAATTAAGTTGAATAAAAACTGGTTAGTAGATGACTTTAAAATGAAAATAATTTAAGATCTCTTTTTTGGGAGGAGAGGACTACTGGTTTGAGAATGAACAAGTTAGTGTTAACTATACTTTGTTGCTTCTATGAATGAGATTCTCTGAATATCAAACCATACCCTTACTCCTGGTCCAACTAAGGTTCATTGCATAAAAGCTTCAGTCCAATGAATATCATAGGTTTTAATTGTATTTTTTATATGTTATCTGTGAAGAAAACATAACTGCTTGATTTTTCTATTGGATTGTCACACCAATATATACACTGTATGAAACTTTTAAAAATAAAACTTTTAACAAAAGAATAAAGTATTAATAAGGAATTCTAGGGATTTAAGAGCTCAATTCCTTCTTAATACAACCTTAGAAACATCCTTTTAGGTTGTAATTTTTAGTTTGTTCTATGGGCCTCTGGTTAAATGTGGCATGCTCTTGGGTTAAAAAGCTATTTAAAATGCAAGACCCTTTTAGTTATTAGTTTACTAAAACAGACATGGGGAAACTTAGTAAAATTAGGTGGAAGTGGCCAAGCAGAGGGAATAAGCTTTTGATGTTCATTCCACTTGGATGATCCTGGGCAAATTAATATTCCTGAATCTCAATTTCTTACTCTATAAAAGAGAAGAATATTACTTATAGAGATACATGAGGATTAAATAATGTAATAAGGTACCTGGTATAGTTAGTATTTAATAAATGTTAGTTTCCATCCTCTTTCCTAAATGATCCTAATGACTTTATATAAATGATTTTAAAATATGGATGACTGCTTGCTATCTTTCTAGATAATTATCCTTAAACCCCCAAATAATACCTAGCATGACACTTTGCAGCTTAATATGTGCTTTCATGTACATTGTCTCATTTGGTCCTCACAATCAAGAGATAGGTATGACGGCCATAATAGGAAAGGCAGGCCTTCTGGCTTGAACCCAGTGCTATTCCTACTGTCACACTTCCTTCTGTAATTTTTTTTTTTACCCGATTTTTTTCAGCAGCCCAAAGAAGCAATTTGCTTGGGTCTTTTTCCATTTTTTTTTCTTGCAATCGATACCACTCTTCATTTTTGTCATCTTGCTCCTCATCTTCATCAGAATTGCCTACCCAAAGACTTTGAGTACCAGTAGGAATAAGGTGTCCATGTGTTTCCAACAATTCAAGTTGGTTAAAGTGTTCAGAAAAATCCAAGGAATTCTCTTGGTCTGGTATTCCATCATCATTTCCTTTTTCTTTTTCCATTTTTACTACTATTCTAAATAAAAAGCATTTCAAATGCCAGGGTATAATCTTCCTAGAGATAAATTATGACTGCTTTATTCATCAAGACCTGAAAACACAAATACAAAAGTTATTAGTAAAACAATAATTCAGGCTTTATCAACTGCATAGATAAGTCTCGCAAACATATACAATTAAACCCTGTGTAAACTCTTGTTTTTCTTATGGTATTCCTTACATACACTAAATACTGGTGCTGACAGAAAACAACAAAAGACAGAAGCATTAGACCACTATTAGATCACAGATGATCTTTAGTGGTCTAATGCTTCTTACTTTTGTTGTTTTCTTCTAAGTCAACTATATTATTATATAACTATTATTATTATTATTATTATATTTTATATATATATTTTTTGAGACGGAGTCTCACTGTGTCGCCCAGGCTGGACTGCAGTGGCCGGATCTCAGCTCACTGCAAGCTCCGCCCCCCGGGTTCACGCCATTCTCCTGCCTCAGCCTCCCGAGTAGCTGGGACTATAGGTGCCCGCCACTTCGCCCGGCTGGTTTTTTGTATTTTTTAGTAGAGACAGGGTTTCACCGTGTTAGCCAGGATGGTCTTGATCTCCTGACCTCATGATCCACCCGTCTCGGCCTCCCAAAGTACTGGGATTACAGGCTTGAGCCACCGCGCCCGGCCATAACTATTATTTTTAATCTACTGGTTTAGGTATGACGGTATTATGCTAAGAGTGATGAATGCTTGAAGGTTTTGAAGTATAACTAATACAATGAAGAAGGTGCATTCAAGATTTTTATAAACTAGACACACAGATAATATAGAGCAGAAATAAAAACTTCTAATTCCTAAAAAAACTACTTGGAAGAATCAGGGATTCTTGAAGATGTTAGCCCCCAAAAGGACATCTGTCCCAATCTCTCATTGGAGCAGATATCTTTATCACAACATCTACACTAATTATCCTATTTCTACTTTGATAATTTCAGGCCTAGGAAAATTCACTGCTTTAAAAAGTAGTCCTATTTATTGATAGGCAACTATAGTTCTTAGTTGGGTCCTTGTTTTCAACTGAATTTTGGCTGTCATTCATTCCTTCATTCAACTAATATGAATAGAATGTCTGGTATGTGTCAATTTCGGGGTACTGGGATTCAATAATGAGCAAGATCCTCAGGAAGCTTACTCTAGTGTAGGTGACTGGCAAAGACGTCATGTGACTGGCAAAGACAACATGATAAGTACTACTACAAGACCTTATCTAGAAACCATGAGTATACAGGAAGTTCATAATTCCCCTAGTTCTAAGGGATTAAAGAAGGCTTCCTGAAGGAACTGATGTTTATTCTGTTAAGCCGCCATATTAATTTATAAACCAGTATCAGCTTAAAGAGTTACACAGCATATAAACCTTAATCAATTACAGAAAAGGAGAATAGCCAATAGATAGTCTAAAAATACCAGTTCCCAGCCTCCCAACTCTATTTGTCAAATCTTATCAGTCTTTCAAGGCTCTTCTCAGATGTTATCTCTTCCATTCTTTCTTGATCCTCTCATTTAGATCACTTTCTGCTTTCTACTTTTTTTGGTGCTACATTGTATTTCACCACTAACTTTGTTCTTGTTTTTGCCCCTTAAAAGATTATAAGTTTAAAGATAATGACCACATTTAACTTATATTTATCTCCTACTTGTCTATAGAAGGCATTAAGTATGTGTAGCATTATATTTAATTAAAGTCTTGTCGCTTGATTTTGCCTGGAATGGATTCTGAGAAGTTCCAGAGTTAGGCATACCCCCAAGATACTGATTTCTGGTACCTAATCTCACAAGTTTAACAGTATACAATCTTAATATGGTATTAAATTTTATTACTAGTGGCAATAGCACTAAACTCAAGTTTAAATCTATTACTCACATCCAGTAACTTTTCTGGACCTGTTACTTTATTGTAAAATGTAAGAATTTTACTAAAGTGGCTTTTCAGTCACCCTTGGAATCAGAGACACCCAATCAGAATCGCTTTGTGTTTTATTAATTCTCCTGGAGTTTACACTTTTTCTTTGATTCTCAAACTAATTCCTGAACCTTGCAACACAAAAGTGACCATACATCAATTCATTAAACACTTAACAGAGGCTAAAAAATAAAAGTTCACTTGTAACTATATCAAATATAGTAACCTTATACCACAGATCTTATCCTCTTCCTCAACATGCTTTTCCTTTTAATAAAAACTCCCTTTAAAAAATTTTGAGTTTACAGATTCAGATACAACAAATTATATATAAAATTGTACTGGTATATTTAGTTTAAAAAGCCAAACCTAGGCGCATCTACCCGATTCACAGTTAAAAAACAAAACTGATTACTTGATGATGATATTCCTGATATTCCATCAGGAATCATTTAAGTACGTTTCCTAACTTAAAGGGCATATCCTATTTTGAGAGAGATCCGAACTATGTCAACTCCTTACAAACAACTCAGTGATGGGGGTGGGGGGGAGTATAAACCTTACAGATGAAGGAGGTTCAGATAGATAAAACAACTTGCCCTAGATCAAGGACCCTTCAGTGGAACTGAAAGGGCAGACGTTCTAATTCAAAAGTTCCACATTATTTTTCGCTGCACTATACATCTTACTGTTATCAGCACAAAGCAATGCAGCTGTGCTGAACTCAAGGCCCTATGGGTGACACCTGTAGAGAGTCTGGCGAGTGGGAGGGAGGGAGAGGGGATCCAGCTTCAACACTCTGCCACGGGCCGGGAACTCACAGGCCCGCGAGCTCCGCCTGAGGCCTTCTAAATAGCCAAGAGCGGAGAAGCGGCTTCAGCCCTACCTGGGGACCACGACGCGGCCTGACCTGCAGGGCTCGGCCTGTGTCCACAGGCTACCCACCCGCACTGGCTCAGGAGTTCTTAGATGGCGCGGGTCCACCAGAAAGCGCGGTCCGGGACAGGGAATAACTACCCACCTGACAGAAGGGAAAATCGCCGCCTTGCATCTCACTTCCGGGTTTGTCTCCTCGGCTGCTCAAGATTGGCTCCTGCATGAGGGCGGGGCCTCGCCGCTACTTTCCCCGCCCCTTCACGGCGTGCGATAGCCAATGAGAACCGAACTGGACTTGAAGCGTCTACGTTTCCCATGAAGTGTCGCGAGAGAAACGGACGCCGTTCTCTCCCGCGGAATTCAGGTTTACGGCCCTGTGGGTTCTCAGAGGCAAGTTTGGACCGTGTTGTTTTCTTCTCACGGATCCTGCCCTTTCTTCCTGGAAAGAAGACAGCCTCGGGTCCCTATTGTGGGGCTTTGAAGAGTCCAGGAGTGGGGTAATTTAGGAATCGCATTCGTCTCCTGTTTCTGCAGGTTCCCAGGCTGAAGCCCAGAGTTAACTGGAACCTCGGAAAGAACGGGCCGAGTGGGCAGGGGAGGGGTCCTGGCGGGCTCCGCGTTCTAATTTCCAGGCGCCGGGCGGTGAGGGCGTGTTGAGGCTTGGAATCCCGACGGAATCTGGAGCTCCAGATATGGTGGGGGTTGTCTCGCGGTGGCAGCCACTCTTCCCCAAACCTGGCTGTTTTCAGTCATCCTGCTGGTGCCTAAAGATGTTCCTCCGCAGACCACGTGTTTGTTTATTTGCACTCGCTTTAAACGCGGGTCCCTTCCCTTTTCCAAACTAGCCAGGTCCTTTAAAAAAAAAAAAAAAAATCGTGTGTTTGAGCAGGAAATACAGGCTTGCCTCCGTTCTCCAGAGTAACCTATGCCTGCAACTTAAAAATATCTGCACATCTAGAATTGTTTGTGTGTTGAACCACAACCATATGTGATCTTTTTTGCCCATTTGTTTAGCATACATTAATTTCCCATAAGAGCACGGGAAAGGAAAATAGGAGTTTAATCATCCTGGTGAAACTAGGATGGCACTGGAGATGTATTATTTCTATGCTTAGTTCATTAAAAAAATTAAAGTATAATGGGTGTTTAGATGAAAATCAGACTTCTAGATTTGCCAGTCTGCTTAAGACGTCTGTACCTTGTGCAGCGTAAATCATGTTGGTTAAATACGTGCAGGCTTTTAAAAAAATGTGTTTTATAATGTAATTTTGTTTTCAGAATTTCTAGAATTTGGAATCGAGTGCATTTTCTGACATTTGAGTACAGTACCGAGGGGTTCTTGGAGAAGAACCTGGTCCCAGAGGAGCTTGACTGACCTTAAAAATGAGTACTGCAGATGCACTGTAAGCACCAGACCTCTGGAATCCCTTGTTATTTTGGGTTTCTAAAGCTGGTCAACTGTGATCACAATAAAAGAAAACTTATTTAATAAGCAGTAAATAAAGAACCTGCTTATGAACAGAAATACTAGTCATCAAAAAGAATCTTTGGAATGTTTTTAATATTTATCTGTTTAGAAACTAATATGCAGCGATAGATTGGAGTCTTGCTGTAATTTGATCTATTGATATAGTATTAAGTTTATGTTCTTAGGCTTTGTCTTAAAGTATTGAAGTTATAAATATTCAGTTTTCCTGGCAAATTCTTATTAGTCAGTGCAGTTCTGTTTAAGATTTTTAGAGTAAATTCCTCTAGTATTAAATAAGCTGGAAATGAATTTGAATGAAATGGGAATAAATAAAAGGACTGTAAAAGTTATATGCACTTTGGGAGGCTGAGGCTGGCGGGATCGTCTGAGGTCGGGAGTTCGAGACCAGCCTGACCAACATGATGAAACCCTGTCTCTACTAAAAATACAAAATTAGCCAGGCACGGTGGTGCATGCCTGTAATCCCAGCTACTCAGGAGACCGAGGCAGGAGAATCACCTGAACCCAAGAGGTGGAGTTTGCAGTGAGCCGAGATCATAAAAAAAAGTTATGTGGGAAAGACTTTAAACTTGTAGTCTTTTATCCTAGTTTCAAGTCCTTGGACGCTACTAGCTGTGTGATCTTGGGCCAGTCAGCAATTCTCTGAGCCTTGCCTCAATTTTGCCATTTGTAAAACTGGAATAATTATACCTTTCTCAGATTAATTTTGAGGCTTAAATGAGAGAATTCATGTGAAAATACTTCATAAATTGCTACAGAAATGTGTAGTATTGTGATTTGAAAAGTATTCTGACCTACCTTTTTGGAGATAGCGGTCAGAACTGTGTGCATATCATTTTTGAAGTTTTTGAAGAGGAATCGTTTCTGGAAATATCTTTTATTTGTAAAGATTTGAATTTTGGAGATATATGCAGAGATTTTTTAAAAAATTCATTGTGGTTTATTGAAAATAGCCTGAGTTTTCATCATGGGTTTTAGTCCCGTTTCTGTCACTAGTTATGTGATAAAGCAGTTAATTTCTCTGGGTTTAGCCTTCTCATTTGTCAGAGATAATAATGCCTGACTCTTCATCTATGAGGGTTGAGATGAGATCATAGAAATAAAAGTGTTTTATGCAATTAAAGTTAAGTTTAGTGTAATATTACCAAATTCAAAGTGAAACAATTCTTGGCCAACTTTTTTAATGAAATCTAACTCTATAGAGAGTAGAGTCAAGCAAGTGTCTTCAGGGGCCTGAATGTAAGTTATTAGCATATTAGTATAAAATTGACTTATAAATTTAGAGGAAGGCTTTTAAAATGAACTTTGATTTTCCTGGAAGAGTACAAAGTCAGATAAATAACAAGTTTAGATATAGGTGTCAAAACCTCTTTGGTTTTCTAAGAAGAGGAAAACAAGCAAACTTTCGGGCGTGGGTTACATGAGTTTGTAAAACTGGTTATAACAAGGTTGTAAATTTTTGAAGCAGTTATAGAACCTTGTAAAGATTTATGTACATTTGTTCTATATTGAACTAGTGGTTAGGAAAACTAATGTTAATATATGTTGAATACTTCAGATTTTCAGATGAACTCTAAGGCTGAAAAAAAGATTTTACTCCATAACTGTTATTATTTATTTTATAAGTTTAAGTCTCAATTTGTTTGAATATCCTTTTAATGAATTATTAATATATTAAATGTTTTTCTTTCTTAATATAGTGATGATGAAAACACATTTAAAATCTTAGTTGCAACAGATATTCATCTTGGATTTATGGAGAAAGATGCAGTCAGAGGAAATGATACGTTTGTAACACTCGATGAAATTTTAAGACTTGCCCAGGAAAATGAAGTGAGTGTGGTTTATATTTGTGCACTTTCTACCGTATTCCCTTGGTCAACAAGTTATTTTTCCTTCTAAATTACAGATTTGTTTTATAAGCCCAGGTGCTTACCTTGCCTGCTTGAATATCCATATACTAAAAGCTCAAAGTCGATTTTGTGTGCTTTGTGTCTTAAATTGAAGTAGGAGCTACTTTTGTAGACAGTCTTAAATTTTACAAATTTTTTGGGGTGTTTACTGAATGCAGGATCCTGTGGCAGTGTCTATTTGAAATGTAAGGTGACTGTCAAAACTTCTGCTTTCAGAGGACATAGAAGAAAACTAGTGTGAAAGACATATATCCACAATCCTCAGATGCAGGGTTGTATGTGATAGGAGCCCTAAGGAAATTCTAAGTAGCATTTCCTGTGAGTTTAGAGGTAGAAAAGATCACATTTAGATTATAGCAAGATGAGGGCTGGGAGCGGTGGCTCATGCCTGTAATCCCAGCACTTTGGGAGGCCAAGGCGGGCGGATCACGAGGTCAGGAGATCGAGACCATCTTGGCTAACACGGTGAAACCCCGTCTCTACTAAAAATACAAAAGAAATAAGCCGGGCGTGGTGGTGGGCGCCTGTAGTGCCAGCTACCTGGGAGGCTGAGGCAGGAGAATCGCGTGAACCTGGGAGCGGAGGATGCAGTGAGCCGAGATCACATCACTGCACTCCAGCCCAGGGAACAGAGCAAGACTCCATCTCAAAAAAAGAAAAAAAATTGCAAGATGAGCTTAATGAAAAAGGTTGTGTTTAACTTAGGCTTTGGAGGAAGGGTAGAGTTTTGGCCAGTGGGGAGCATAGAGAATGTACATCCATGTGAAGCAGGAGTGAAAACACAAGTAAGACAGTATAAGGTATGTTAGGGGCCCTGTAGTCCATTTGGCTCACCAGCAGGTCATGGTTAGCAAGCATGCTGAGAGACTAAAAGTAAAGGTTTGAGCTGCATTAATGAGGACTTCAAATACCAGATTGAGAAATTTGTACCCAGTTCAATAGAAAGTCTTCTGGCAGCAGTGTATAATACCATGAATCGGAGACCAGTTTTTTGAAGTGTTCAGCTTAGGGATGGGAAAGAGAAAGTGAATGCAAGAGATATTGCAAAAAGAGGATTCGTGTACTTTGGTTAGTTGTAGGGTGTGGGGATAAGGGCAAAGGGGAGGACAGTGACTCTGAAATGTGTGGAGTTTGGGTGAATAGTTGTACCAAAAATAGAAATAGGTAGATAAGGAAGAGGTACTTCTTCATGTGGGAAGGTGACAATTTCTGGTTTAGACAAATTTAGAGTTGGAGACTGCAATGGGACAATCAGGGAAAAATTTCAGCAGGCAGTTAACACGTCAGCCCAGGAAAGAGTTGGAGAATAAACATATAAATTGACTTGCAAATTAACACCTCCAATCTTGACTTTTCTGCAGAGTTCTCTTCAGTTTATCTGCTAGGTCCTTATTTCTTCCTCCCAAATATATATGGTGCCTCTCTACTACTCTCTTCACACTATTAAACTTAGTCCAAAGCTTGATCACGTTTCACATGGCCTGCAGGAGGTCCCCTTCCATCTTTCTGCTTCCATTCTTTTCTGCTACATCTACTCAGCATATATCTACTCAGCATCGCAGCCAAAGTGAACTTTTAAAATAATAAGTCAGATCATGGCACTCTGTTGCCTAAAATTTTCCAAGTGTCATTCCATTGAATCTAGTATAAAATTCAAACTACAAGGTTCGACTCGATCTTGGCCCCTGCCATGAAACTTCATCTCCTACTACTCTCTGCCTGATTTACAGTGCTGCATCCACACCGGCACGTTCTACTCTGAGGCCCTTACACATCTAGTTCTTTCTGCTTGGAGCACATTGATCTTGGCGGGGCCTACTTCTGAGAGTTCAAGTCTTACATTTTTGGAGACGTCTTCCCTGATACTTTCAAGCACTCTTTTATCACATTTCTCTGCTTTATTTTTTTCATAGCATATTTTTAATACCACTATCCGAAATAATTTATTGAATTATTTACTTATTTATTATCTGTCGTCTTCACTAGAAGGAAAACTCCATGAGTGAAAATCTTTTGTCTGTTCATGCTATATCTTAGTGCTTAGAAAGAATCAGAAAGCAGTGGGTATACATGTTTTAAGTTTCTTAATTAAGTGAGGCAATGGCTGGATTCTTTCATTTTAGGTTCAGAGGTACATGTGCAGGTTTGTTATATAGGTAAACTTTTATGACAGGGGTTTGTTGTGTAGATTATTTTG